CCCAGAGACCCCAAACCATGGTGACCCCTTCCCCCAAACCCCAGAGACCCCAAACCCCCCAAACCCAGAGACCCCAAACCACGGTGACCCCTTCCCCCCCGTGACGGACTCCCAGAGACCCCAGACCCCCCGGTGCCCCCCGCCCGGTGCCACCTGTGCCCGCCTCGCCCAGCCCGTTGCGCACGGCCAGCGCCGGGCCCCGCGCCGGCCGCCGGCCCCCGCTGCCGCCGCCGAAGCCGCCGCCGCCGTTGTTGTAGCCGTCGTAGGAGCCGCTGCCGCCGTAGCCGCGGTTGCCCCCGGAGTAGCCGGGGCCGCCGCCGCCGCCGTACCCTGCGGGAGAAACGAGGAGAAAGGATTTGGGGCGGGGGGCCGCGGCGGGGCCAGCTCCGGCGGCTGTGGCCGGCGGGGCCGGGTGTCCTGGCGGCGCCACCGGGCTCGGGCCCGGCCTGGCCTTACCGTCGGCACCAAATCTGCCAAATCCGGCACCGCCAAACCCGGCTGGAAAGAGCGAACGGCGCCGGGGCCACGCCAGGGACGGGCACCGGAGCCCCGGGGCACGCGGAGCGGCGGCAGCCAGTGAGGGAGGGTCCGGTGCCCGGGGTCAGTGCTGTCCCTGTACCGCTGCTGTCCCTGTCCCCGGTGCTGTCCCCGCTCCTGGTGCTGTCCCTGTCCCCGTTCCTGGTGCTGTCCCTGTCCTCACGCTGTCCCTGTCCCTGTCCCGGTGCTGTCCATGTCCTCACGCTGTTCCTGTCCCTGGGGTTAGTGCTGTCCCTGTCCCCATGCCCGGTGTTGTCCCCTGTCCCTGTTCCTGGTGCTGTCCCTGTCCCAGTGCTGTCCCTGTCCCCTGTGGTGTCCCTGTTCCTGGCGCTGTCCCTGTCCTCACGCTGTCCCTGTCCCCATGCCCAGTGTTGTCCCCTGTCCTTGTTCCTGGTGCTGTCCCTGTCCTCATGCTGTCCCTGTCCCCGGGTGTTGTCCCTGTCCCCAGGGTCACTGCTGTCCCTGTCCCTGTCCCGGTGCTGTCCCTGTCCCTGTCCCGGCGCTGTCCCTGTCCCCGGGGTCACTGCTGTCCCTGTCCCTGTCCCGGTGCTGTCCCTGCCCTCATGCTGTCCCTGTCCTTGTCCCGGTGCTGTCCCTGTCCCCAGGGTCACTGCTGTCCCTGTCCCTGTCCCGGTGCTGTCCCTGTCCCCGGGGTCACTGCTGTCCCAGTCCCTGTCCCTGTCCTGTCCCTGTCCCCGGCATCACTGCTTTCCCTGTCCCTGTCCCGGTGCTGTCCCTGTCCCCAGGGTCACTGCTGTCCCTGTTCCTGGTGCTGTCCCTGTCCCGGTGCTGTCCCTGTCCCCCGTGGTGTCCCCGCTCCTGGTGCTGTCCCTGTCCTCATGCTGTCCCTGTCCCTGTCCCGGTGCTGTCCCTGTCCCCGGGGTCACTGCTGTCCCTGTCCCGGTGCTGTCCCCATCCCCGTCCCAGTCCCCCACTCACCACGGCCGCCGAAGTTGCCGCCGCGGTTGAAGTTGTCGCCGCCGCCGAAGCCGCCGCCGCGGCCGCCGCCGCCACCGAAGTTACCGGAGCCGCTGCGGCCTGGGGGGCACGGGGACGTCAGGCACGGCGGGCACGGGGGGCGTGGCGGGGCCGGGCCGGGGCTCACCTCGCTGGCCGGCCGAGGCGCTGGCCATCTCCTGCTTGGACAGCGCCTTGCGCACCTCGCAGTTGTGCCCGTTCACCGTGTGGTACTTCTGGACTGCGGGGGACACGCGGGCTCACCGGGTGGCACTGCCCGGCCGGGGTGGCGCCCACCCCACGCTGTCCCCAGGGTGGCTGTCACTGCCCCACACCGTCCCCACGCTGTCCCCAGGGTGGCTGTCACTGCCCCACACTGTCCTCAAGCTGTCCCCAGCCAGCTGGTCACCCCCCAGGTGTCTCCAGCCACCATGTCACCCCTCAGCTGTCCCCAGGTGTCCCCAGTGTCCCCAGCCAGCCGGTCACCCCTCAGCTGTCCCCAGGTGTCCCCAGTGTCCCCAGCTGGGCTGTGACCCCCAGGCTGTCACCCCCAGGTGTCCCCAGCTGCAATGTCACTCCCTAGTGTCCCCACATTGCCACCCCCCAGGTGTCCCAGTTGTCCCCACCAGCTGTCCCCAGATGTCCCCAGGTGTCCCCAGTGTCCCCAGCCAGCCTGTCACCCCCCAGGTGTCCCCAGCCAGCATGTCACCCCTCAGCTGTCCCCAGGCTGTCCCCAGGTGTCCCCAGCTGGGCTGTCACCCCCAGGTGTCCCCAGCTGCAATGTCACTCCCTAGTGTCCCCACATTGCCACCCCCCAGGTGTCCCAGCTGTCCCCTGCAGCTGTCCCCAGGTGTCCCAGCTGTCCCCAGGTGTCCCCAGGTATCCCCAGCTGTCCCCCCAGGTGTCCCAGCTGTCCCCAGGTGTCCCCAGCTGTCCCCC